GGGGCCCCGCGCGCCAGGCGTGGGGGTGGCCGAACGCTGACTTTTCCTCTCCCGCCGCGCTGCCGGGCTGCAGCGGAGGCGTCCGCGCCGCTGCCCGCGGCACTGAAGAAAGAAGCTCGGAGAGCACAGAGGGGCCGGAGAAAGGATCCTCTGCGGCTGTTTGCGGCAGTACTCTCGGCACCGATAAAGGCACCGCCAAGGGCACAGGCGGAGGCGGGCAGTCTCTGCTCGCCTGCCGCTTTTCCGTTGGCAAAGCCTGCGCGCTCAGCTCCACGGGTGGCGGGCACTCAGACTCTTCTGGAGAGGGAGATTTCTGGTGCACAGATTGCTCCTGCCCACGGCTAAAGTCCTCCAAGGGTCCGGGCAGAGCCGAGGGAGCGCTACACTGCTCATCCACAGTCTCATCTCCCAGTCTCTTATCTTGTACAAAGGAGGCACTCCTGGCATCTAAGTCTTCTATCCTGGCCTCACTGTTCTCAGACTGGCACCATTCCAGCGCCTTAAAAATCACTCCCCAGGTTGCTGCTAAGCTGCACGCACTGGTATTTCCCGCAGCTAGCTTTGACCACAAGTGGTCTCCTACTGATAGCCAAATCTCAAGGTCAAATGCATTATCTACAGTCATAGTAAAGCCTTGCGCTTTTACCCACTGGAACAAAGTGCGCATAGCTTCTTCAGGAATACAGAGTCTTGTGCGCGGCAAGGCGTCCTGCCACGTAGAGTAGATAAGCTATTCATTAGCTGAAATGCAGTTCTCAATTATGAGAACTGTTTATCTTGACAGCTCCGCGAATGCAGTGATGCAGACTATCAGCTTAGACCCGGGATTTTTAAGCTCTGCTTCACCAAGATAAGCTGTTCCAAGCCCGCTCACTGGCAGGGCTCCACTGTCTCGTTGGTTTAAATACCAGCTCTCTCTAGGAGAGCCCGGGAGAAGCTCACTTACCCCTCTGGGGGGAAGTGGCTGGCTCATTGCCCACTGGCTGCACACCCTCAAGGGTTCAGCAGATGCACATCACGTCGGGGTCATCAGATGTCACTCTATCAGGAACAGCAAGAAGAGCGGCACACTCTCTAGGGAGTCAATTAGGAGAATTTCTCGTAGTTTATTATTTCAGCTCTGTTTTATAGACTGATACGTGGAAAGTACAGAAAGGAAACTCTTACTGGTTAGCAAATTACTATACCACCATCATTGGTCAGTGGGGCACACTACCCTCTGTCTTTCTCCTGCAAAGAAAACAAGAGACAGAGAAACACCTGCAAGGCTGTTTTCTGTCTTTGAGGATTGTTTTGAATCCTCCTTATGAATTCCCAGGCTACTTTCTCAGGCCGGACTGAGAGAGCTATGTGGCCTGTAATTTTTACAAGGCTCTCTGTTTCAGAGTTAGCATCTACACATCAGAACCACAAAAATATGAGGCTTTGGTTGATACTGGTGCACAGTGCACATTAATCCCATCAAGACATGTGGGGACAGAATCTCTTTCTATTGCTGGCGTGATGGGGGTGTTGCCGCTGGAGATGAACAGATCACATGAACACAGTGCAAGGTGTGGTGAAAGGAAGAGAGAGTTTATTTCTTCTCCCAGGATTTATAGGTTTCTGACCACGACCAGGGATTGGATGGTCAGGATAACACTTTCCCAACTGCACTGGCCATGAGAGACGTCCATCAAAAGATGTGTATCAGAAAGAATGTACACATCTATGTTTACAGTTACTGTGCTGGGAAAGTCTTTAGAAAACGATGTCAGCAAGCTCAGAAGCTGAGTTTTCAGGACAACAAGGGGGATCACAGGATTTTACCTTGGTGGAAGCAGATGTGAGCCTGACTGGAAATGAGTGGAAGAAACACCCTATTGTGACAGGCCCAGAGGCCCCATGCATTTTGGGCATAGACTACCTCTGAAGTGGGTATTTCAAAGACCCAGAAGGACTCAGGTGGGCATTTGGAATAGCAGCTGTGGAGACAGAGGGTGTCCAGCAACTGAACACCTTGTCTGGACTGTCTGACAATCCATCTGCAGTAGGACTTCTGAAGGCGAAAGAACATCAAGTACCAATTGCCACCTCAACGGTGCACCGCCGACAGTATAGAACAACTCGAGATGCTGTGATCCCCATCCATAAGATGATCCGAGAGCTGGAGAGCCAAGGGGTGGTCAGCAAAACCCACTCACCCTTCCACAGCCCCATCTGGCCTGTGCGCAAGTCTGACAGAGAATGGAGATTGACTGTGGACTATCGTGCATTGAATGAAGTGACTCCACCTCTGAGCGCTGCCGTGCCAGACATGCTGGAGCTCCAGTATGAGCTGGAGTCCAAGGCAGCAAAGTGGTACACCACTACTGACATTGCCAATGCATTTTTCTCCATTCCCCTGGCAGCAGAATGCAGGCCTCAGTTTGCCTTCACCTGGAGGGGAGTGCAATACACCTGGAACTGACTGCCCCAGGGGTGGAAGCACAGCCCCACTATCTGCCATGGACTGATCCAGGCTGCCCTGGAATAGGGTGAGGCTCCGAAACATCTACAGTACATAGATAACATCATTGTGGGAGGGAACACAGCAACAGAAGTGTTTGAGAAAGGAGAGAAAATCATCCAGATCCTCCTGGAAGCTGGTTTTGCCATCAAGAAGAGCAAAGTTAAGGAATCAGCTTGTGAGATTCAGTTCCTGGGGGTAAAGTGGCAAGACGGACGGTGTCAGATTCCTACCAATGTCATCAACAAGGTGTCATGGTTTTAAGGCAGTAACTACAAAAAATTACTTACTTCTTGCTGTGAGATATGGATTAGAACAAGAGCAAAACAGGCTTAAAACTTAAAAGGAAATAAAGAAAATTTATTAACAAAACTACAAGCATAAGAACACCAGAATAAACTTCCAGAAAACCCTTTTATCCCCCACTACCCAACCATTCCCTTGTACACGTGACAACAGAGAGACAAAAAAAACTTTGGAACTTGGGTGTTTAAAACAGTCCAAATTCCTGCTAGAGTCTTTTCATCAGTCTTTGTCGAGAAACAGAAGTCTTCTTCTGCTAATCTATGGAGTTTTTCACAAGAAAACTATTTCTGTTATAGTTTTCTATTTCTCTGACGCCAGCTGCCCGGAAATCTGCCATCAGTTCACTCCTCCCATTTCACATCACTCTGAGGTGTGTATGGGCCATGAGTCTAGGGATATCATTTTTTAAGGATGAGTTATTCAAAGGCAAAAGTCTTCTTTATCTGTTTCTGTGAGCTTCGCTGGAAAAGAGTTTTCTCATTGCCCTCAAGGCCTCAAATCTTCGCTTCACTCTGTTCCAGCACTTCACTGTATCGCAATTACTCTACTTTTTACTCAAAATCCACACTTTGAACACTCCATTCCCCCCAATATACTCTGTCATGAATTAAAGGAGTTTCTTCAAAATATTATTGTCCATCTCCATAGCTTTAACAGAAAAATATTTCAGCTTATAAAGCTTATTCTCTCTTCCCTTTCAAAAACTTAACTCTTTTTCCTCACTGTCTTCTTCATGTTGATTCTCTCTCTCTCTCTGTCTCTCTGGGAAAAAAGGAGTAATCTGTATGTTTCATCCAGGTAGTAAAAGAATTAACATCTTGGAAAAGCTGCAGATGTTCATAGTGTCAGGTTTCAGTCCAGCAGCAGGAACTACAAAGTAAGCCAAGCTGGCCGGCTCCATTTCTCTTCCCCCCCCCTCCACCCTCTGCAGCCTTGTCCGGCCTTGGTGGGGGGAGGGAGGCCAAGGGCCAAGACAGAGCCTTGTTACCTTTTCAAAAGCCGGAAACCCAAAGAGAACAAGAGAGCTTCGGCTTTACATCTTAAGGTGGTGTTCACAAGTTGATCTCACTTTTCAATGGCCAAAACTGCTGTCAATTCTTAGAAATGACTGATAATTGGTCAGGAGAAAAGACTCCCATCAGTCACCAGCAGCTTCAACTTCCTTAGCTCCCAAAGCTATCTTAAAGGTAAAGTCGCCCTATGACACAAGGTCACAGCAATGTCTCCACCAACTAATAAGAAGGAAAAACAAGCTTTCTTAGGTGCCATAGAGTTTTGGAGAATGCATGTTCTTGAATACAGTCAGATTGCGAGCCCTCTTTACCTGGTCACCCAGAAGAAGAATAATTTCCACTGGGGCCCTGAGCAGCAACAAGCCTTTGCTCAGATCAAGCAGTAGATGACTCATGCGGTGGCCCTTGGCTGTGCCTGTTAAATAAACACGGTTTTTTTCCACTTCTCTCAGAGAAATCTCTTCCCGAATCGGTTGGGGGGTGGGAGAAAGGGGCCACGTGGGTTTGCTTCCCGGGTGGGGCGGGGGGGGCATTGGAGGTTTTCTCCCAAATTTGCCCTAAACTAGGACATGATGATAAGTGGAAAATTAAATCTCAAGAAACTAAAAGTAACAGTTTTTATTCAAATTATGTTTAAAGAAAAATTTATTAATTCAACAGGCAAAATAAAGGGTATACTCTGTTGCGAAACTACTACTTACAATACAAATCAATTTTTTAAACTCCTCTTTTTAAACGCCAAAGCTTTTTTAAAAAATATTTAATTAAAAATTCCAATTTTAATGAACTCTTATATAACATTTTCCCTTAATTCAAGGTCTGAATCTTCATCACTGAAGAGAAATACTCTTCCAAACAGCAACTATGTGGCAAAAAACACAGAATACACTAATTCATCCAAGGAAGAAAAAGGTATTTCTGTACATCCTCAAAAAGGCAAAAACTAGGCAGGGAGAACCTAATATAGAAAGGATAAGGCTACATCTGTTTTTGGAATTAATTGAAACTACAGTTTTAAGTATTGTAAAATATTTTTTTACTTGTTTTCTTAGCCAGAGGAAAAGTAAATCACTGTCTCTGGACTTCACCTGCACAACTTCATAACCAAGTACCTGAAGATGTCTCTGTTTAACAGCTTCTTCTCCCAACAGATTTTGACTATGAGCACAAAATCTATTTTGACCATCAACACACAGGGCAATTCTAAAATTAAGCATAAGTGTAATATAAAACAAAACAAAAACAAACAAACAAAAATAAATAGTAAAAAAAGAAACCCACCAACAAACCCACAACAATCAGTTATTTGAATCATCACAAGTAGTGCAGTTCCTAAGAAGCATGAGACAGTACCTCTCTCTTACACCTCATTGAATCAGATGTAGGATGGGGGTTACCTAGTTCATGATAATTTAAATCACTCAATTTAAGGGTGAGAGGTGGAACCCTGAAACTTATTGAAACTGATATGAAAAGCTACTTTATTTGCTCTGAACAAAAATTACCATACAACTTAATGAGAGTTTGATACTTTTAATGGTATGATTAGTAAGCTGTTTTGAATTCTTCTAGAAGGAAAAATGTAAAAAAACTCGCCTCAGCTAGAAAACATTTCAGCAGCTAAATTTATTTAACTTACTAATTTACCTGTTAAATCCATTAGAGTTTAAGCTGAGTTTAAGCTACATCTGTTCGAAGTTAAACCCGTACGTATGGTTGGCAGTATAGATTATAACTATTTTTTCTTCTGAGTGATAAAAATCCCATTAATTTAAACCAAAATTTGTATATCGATTGTTAAAAAGTTGCTTAAAGTTTCAGTATGTTGAGAATATTGTGACTTTATTTACTTTATTAAAGCTATTACTTAAAAAAAACAACATTAAAGCTCCTTCTTAAGCATTTAAGCATGGGCTCTTCGAAAAAACCTGTATTAGTTTCTCATTATTCACCTGAAGATGTCCTGGTTTCAGCTTAAACCACAACAGAAGGTAACACTGGAGAAAGCCTAATCTCTTCAAAGACTTTTGCTTTATTCACAGCAGTGCATTTGCAAATATCACACACCAGGTTGCTTAACTTTGTATCCAAGGCTTCACAAATTTAAATATAAATTTAAACACCTATGCATTTCTCAATTAAAAAAAATCCAGCATCTGTAGCAAATAGCCTTATTATGAATGATTCCTTGCAGAAGTAAATTTGTGAACTCAAACTGGCTTAAACTCTGTTAAATCTGTGCAAATACATTCAGTTAGAATTTAGTTTTAATTTGAAAATTAATTACAGAATATCAAAATACATTGCTATAATCTAAATAAGGATCACTTGATTCGGTCACTGGGTAAACCAGTGACCAGACCAACCATCTGACACTGTATAGTCAGGTGGCAAAACAATGAGCAAAAAACAGATTGTTAATTTTGTCCTTTTGCCAGTGGTTTCAGTGTGAGATCTGAACTTCGTTGAAGTCAATGGCAAAGATTGCCAGGTTTTCACCCTAGCTGCTCTTTGTTAATGTAAATCAACATTTTACCAGTGGTTTCTTTTATTGTCTTACCGGCTGTGCACCTCTTAAAGTTGGGCCACAGGCAATACAAAACCTTCTTCATCTAATTTAATCTCAGTATCTTGTGTAGATGAAAAAATAAGTGACATTAAAAGTCATTTCTTATAATAAACTTTCTACTGTAATTCTTATCCTCTCACAGTTGTTATATTAAATAAATATAATACTATCACTTTTTTGGGTTTTTCTTTGGAATCACAGGCTGGAAAAAGTTGTATAGACTTAACATGAATGACTTGCAATTAGTAACATTCAGCCTTCCATGCTGAATACTATATGCTCACAATACTAATGCTCACAAGCAAAGTAGTAATCCAAGTCCACTAAAAACTGTAATGCAGTTAAATGGCACTTTGCTAGGTCTCTGGAAGATAGGGTAGCTAGGGTCTCTGAAATTTTGAGGGCTTTGGGGAGAGACACACTCTCTGCCTCTGTTAACTTCAACATCCTTATGAAAGCTGACATACAGAATAACTCTGAAATGAAAAAAAAAAGTTTAATTTTTTTTAAATCCCTCTGACATCCATGGTGTCCAAGACTCCCTTTCCTCAACATCTTATTGTAATAAATGGAGATGATTTGTGCTAACTAAATTGTAAATACTTGAAGAGTTATTATAAAGCAATAAATGGAATCAGTGTTACAAGGCAGATGGACCCCTTTACAGATGTTCAAAATAGGATACAGGATGTAGTTTTAAGATAAGTAACGTCCCAAGACAAAATCGACCTTGAGATGGACAAAGTTGAAATAACTTTAAGCATAAGGCCTGACATGATAAAATGTAAGACTAATTAGTAGAACATAATGCTTACTTACATCACAAAACGCTTAGTATGTACACACATATCTTATAGCTTATCCAGAGGACAACAAGGATGAGTGTAAATCTTCATCCAAAGACTACTGAAAGAAGACCAAAGACCCCCTAGCAACAAGTGAGGCCATGAAGAATAGTGATATAAATTTTAAGAACTGGAAGTAGGAGGAAATTTACGGGAAATATTAATGAATATGTATAAGCATATAGTATGTAAGTTTAGCTTGAATTGCTTTATTTCATACATGAGGTAGGGTGAGAAGCCCTTCTCTGTACCCCAGTTGGTTTCATACGTGAGGTGGGGTGAGAAGCCCTCCCTGTAACCCCGTCGGTTTTGCTTATGCTTTAATCATACTCAATTACTGGCAAACTGTATTCACACACATACACACACACACATATACATATATATCTCTGAATGTATTGACTAAATTGTACTCTTTTACTAAATTGTATTCCTTTTATACCAAATTACTATTCAATTCACTAAATTGTATTCTTCTATTAAATTGTATTCTTGTGTTCAATTCACTAAATTGTTTTCTTTTTTTTTTGTTATTAAATTGCTGCTAACTCAATAGACCTAGTTGTCTAATTCTAATTTTATTTATAACATTATTATCATCCACCTCTCCTGGGCATGTGCCTTTCCTCCTCACTGCCTTCTGTGTTTCCTGCTGCACACAACAGTTTATTTTGCTCACTCCTGTCTTATAACCCACAAACCCCACTGACTGTGTTGCCAACAGCTCTCACTGAGGGGAGAGGAGCCCAGCTGAGCAGGGCAGCCAGCTGACCACTTTCCTTTCTCTACTTACCACTAAAACAGGGAGATCAGACAAGTGGCATTGCCTGATTTTGCTTTACATTATACAAATTGTTTAACAGATAAAGAGCTGATAATAAAAATACAGAATACAAGCAGCTGTTAGCAGCTGTTTTCAATACAGAGTGGCTGCGTAAATACCAATTAATGCTGTGCTTTTCTCTCCATTTTCCTTTCTCTGACTTTATAAATTATTTACTTAAAGTTCCCAAACTTCAGATCTTATATAGAAATTTGTATCCCAGTTTACTTTTTCTGCATTTGCAGAACTTAGAATGCCCACAAAGGAAATGAACGCTTTGGCACCATATACAGATTAAATTACGAATCCAAAGAAATTATACTTACCAACTACATAGAAATAGGGTGTTGATACCTCTGATGCAAAATATATTATTTTTTTCAGTAAATAAAGTAATCCTGTCTTCACCCTTTTAAAGAGGTGAACGTCAAGAGAACTGTGAGGTGTGGGACATGCCTTTACCTGGTACTTTGAAAGGAGTTTCAGACCCTAGGTAAAGACAGAAAACCAAATTGAAAGAGGGACATGACATTTTTGTAATTACCTCATATTAACATAGCAAAATGTATTCTGTGCATTTCAAAGCCAAGTCTATTGAGAGACCTACAGTCTGATCTGCTAGAAACTTAAAATCACCAAACAACCATCCAAACATCCTCAGGAAGCTTCAATGCTATATCATGTGCATGAAATGCACAGCTGTTTCCATTCATACAAATATACCAAGTCATTCAGTCAGATAGAAATGTTCCATATTTTCAGCAAGGAAAGTTGGTTTGTCCAATTCCAAAGCTTTTTATGGGAAATACACTCAACTAAGTATAAACAGGGCTCTAATGACCTTATCTGGTTTGACATGTACTGTACGTCATAAAATGGGCACTCCAGGGTGACTGTCAGAAAAAGCTGGGTTAGCTGGGACATAACAATTCTGTTCAAACCAGATGGCTGAGCTGAAACAACAACATACAGGTTTTCAGGTGTACCTTCAACAAAGTATCTTTACACAAACCATATGCAGAAGTTAGGAAAAGCTATTCAGTATAGCGTGCAGAAAAGCTACTTAATCATTAAAATTCTCAGTAATTGTTTAAATTAACAGAAAGATAAGTATGAAATAACATAGGTAAAAAATGAGAAAATTTTTCACAAAAATATCAACATAACAATACAAAACTAGCAAGATCTTAGTTAAAACTGTCATTTTCTTTCACCAAAAATGGGGATCCAAAAGATGCAGGACAGTCTACACAGCAGAATAAATTTGAGTTGAGGTCTTAGATAAATACCACCTTCTTATAACCACTTTTCTCCAAGTTATAACCCCAATATGTCATTGTTTCACTCCTGTTTTTTTCTTTTTTTAATCTGCAATTTGTGGATAATACCTAATAATTTCTGGGGCTTTGTCTGCTTTGTAAAAATCAACTCCTTTAGGTATTTCAAGTTGTTGAAAAATTAAGTGATCAAAATTTCTAATCACTTAAAATACTTTAGCTTAGTTTTATTAGTAGAGCAATCTTAGCTGAAATCTTTTTAAGTCAGTCACCTTTCTGGTATAGCTTACATCTCTCTACAATGATCCTAAAAATGCTATAGTATCAAATAGAGAATAACTCAAAATGATGTGTTGTTCATAACAGATTTGTGTCCAAAAGCACTGAAATATGCAATAATTAGAGCCAAGAACAGGCTATCACATGGAGGACATTCTAGCATCCTGAATAAAAGAAAGGACAAACATGGGGAACACCAGCTCACTGTTTTTTAGAAAACCATAAGGATTAACTGAAATAATTCTTTTAAGGGAATTCAGGTCTGTGTTTTAAAACTGTACAATGCAATTTTCAAATTCAACTAAATGACATAACATGAAAAACAATGGCAACTGTGACAAGGAAGCAACAGCCTTTGGCCTGATCACTACTGTCCAGTCACTTTGATCAGATCACTGTTGGTTTGACAAATGAAAGTGATAAAAAATAGGTGCTTGACAAGAGATAAACTACTTAACAAAGAAACATGGAGAAATTCTGCTCCATACCTTGAAGCTTTTGCAGAAAATAGGGACTAAATATTTTTGGCATAAAATTTATTGGATAACGTTGAATAAGGACACACAAGTGTAAGAAGTTCAACAAGGTGTGAGGCTCAAAGTGCTTCAGGTGGCTATGCAGGACAGTTTCAAACTTCCTAAACAAGGAAGAAGCACTTGGAGTTAGGTAGTTAAGAGTCCCAAATGAGACAATATACACAGCTATCTGGTCAAGTGTCAGTATTGGAAATGAAACCTGCTACTATCAAAGATGGGCTTTGAAAGGATCATCTTTTAGCAGCAATAATGCATGACCTTGCTGACTGAGGATGCATGGTGAGGATGGACCTGGGGACATGTCTTTCCAGTGCCTCTGTAAAAATTTGCAATTTTTGCCCTAAGTATAGGAAAGCTTCCAGTACATTTACCAGTTCATGATCTGTGAAATAGGGAACATACTTCACTGAATGTTTACACAGTGCAGTGACTAAGGGAACTGCCCCAGTCTGACAAAGAATCACCAGTGAATTCAGTATTACACTTGAAAAGCTTGGACTTAGCTCAGAAACTTTGTGTAAAGTGACATTGTTCAGTCTGTTTAGCAAGTTTGGGCATTGTTTCCCTTTCCTCACAGTTACCTGCAGTATCTTACAAACCATCATTAATTTCTCTGGGACTCCACCTCTCAATGTCTCTTTCTTGCACAATTTGTCTTACCGTTCTAAGTTCACAATTTGTTCCAGCATCATACAACTTGGGCCTTCTAACTCAAGCAAACTCTCTCCAAGAGCACAAAGATTTTCAGCAGTCAGCTGTCCCCTGCCAAGCTGCTCTCTGCTCTCTGAAAGCAGGCTTGTCATCAGCGTGCTCTGAGGATCTTTACATAGCTTTATCAAAGCCTGCAATGCATTCAGCAGCCCCATGTTTGACAGTTTTGAGGATTCAAATTCAAACTATTAGCATAATGCTCTGAAAACTTCATTCTCTAACAGTTCAGGGTTTTTAAGACCATTGTCATCCACCTCAACTTCAGAAATCCTCTGCAGGGCTCCTGAGGCCATAGTATCAGACATGACATCTAAAGAGCTAAGAAAGTAATAAATGTCTTTTGATATACAAAGGTTGTTAAACTTCTTGAAAAATAATTGTTCATCCATACACACATTATTTGATTTAGTACAGTCCATGATATTGCCACAAAAATGCATAGTTTCATTAACACAAAGCGGCTCCATCTGCAGTTGTATGTGTTTTTTCCTAAAAAGAACTATACTAAGATTTATCTTTGACACACAGCATCCTTATGGCCACGGACCTACAGTTTCGGGGTTTTCGCTGCCCACTGATGAAATTCAACCTCTTGCTTAGGGTCATCAAAGCAGACTTGCTTTCTGGTGTGCTGGATGAATACAGTTGGAAACTTTTTCGGCTAATCAAAGCTACATTGAATCAAGTGAGATCTGCAATGATACCTAGGGGAAGAAAAAAAGATACGTAGTCTGGAAAAGAGCACCAGGGTCACTAAAATGCAGGGAAAAAACCCAACCCAAATCCTTTTGGTGGCTGGAAAGATGGGTACGATCCCTTTCCCACAACCACGAGCACAAAGCAATGCAGAGAGTAGAAATGCCGGGAGCTGCGAGCCCTATGTGATAGGCTGCCCCGTGTTCCCGCAAGGACACTCTGTCAGACGAACAGGGGACGGACACGAACGCTCCCTCGTGCAGGAGCCGCGGGGTGCCACTTTGCCCGCCACTCCCGCGGCCAGGGCGGCACCGGCGGGGCCCCTCCATCCTCCTCCGCCCCAGCACCTACTGCTGCTTCCGCGGGCCAGGGCCGCGCTGCTCCAACCCGGGAGACACCCGGCCATTCCGGGGCAGCCGCAGCGGCCTCACCTCGGCAGCCATTTCGGGAAGCGCGGCGCCTGCTGGGACCTTCCGATGCCTTCGCTCGCCCCTCCCGGCTCGCCCCGTTCCGCTCCGCCCCGGTCCTGCCTCCTCCTCGCGCTGCCGCAGCCGCTGTTTCCGGCCCGGCCTGGCGCGGCGCTGCCCGGGCAGTCGCGGAGCGACGGTTGGCGGTGGTGCTTTGCTTCGGGATTCGTACCCGTGCCCGTGCCCGTGTTCGTGTGCACCTCGTCCTCCACAGCAGGTACTCCCTTTCCCCGCGCTGGGGTGACACCGGGGTTGGGCGGAGCAGGTGCGCGGGACCGAGGGTTTGTATTTTTCTTTTATATTTTTCTTGGTCCCAGAATGCTTCTGAGCAAGCCGCAAGCTGTTGAAAAACTGTCTTGAGAATGGCTTAATGGCTCAAGGCACTGTCCCACAACCGGGCTTAAAGACACAGAGCGCGTGAAGCTCTTCTGGTTAATGATAGAAAGAAGACGTTCTTCTAAGTTTCAGAAGGGTGAAACTCCTCCATGTGTGCAGTTCAGATTGAATGAGGATCTCAGTAGTTTATCCATCTGTTGATGACATAATTTACAGTGTGTGTACTGAAGTTTCTTGCCTTTTTTCATCCGGTCTGTGAAAGTTTATATTTGACAGAGCAGGTCCATGATGTGTGCGGTCTGGCCCTGCCATGCAGCTGCGACACTGCTGGGGCAGCACTTCAGCGGCGTTCCTGGATGCTTTGGCTGCTCCTATACTGTTGGCTTAGGGAGCTGCTGGACTCCCCGCTAATCTTCTGTGGACTATGAGCTTTCTGAATTTTCCAAGTATTGAATCAGATGAGCCGTAGTTTGGAATTTCATCCTTCGTTTCTTGTTAAGCCCTGGTTTCATCCAGCAAATCACAGGTTGTTTTCCCAGCTTAAACATTTTTTGATGTGTGTTTATCAGCACAACAACATGTTAAGGGCTGCTGGTGTGGAAGTACTATTGAAGTTACAGGGATTCTTCAGAAAGCTCTATACCTCAAGAATTACCTTTTTCCTCCCTATTTATTCCAGTTAAACTTGTATCACATAAATGGAAGTGGTGTAGTGTCTTTGAAGAGTGTCTAAAACACCAAAGCAAGAGCAGTGTGAACAGCATGCTTGGCTGAGAGCAGGTGTGTGCCTGGTCTATGGTTGTTCATCTGCAGGTAGGCATGACTGATTTTTCTCTCTTTGAGCAGGCATCACTTAGCAGTCTGCACAAAGATCTTATGATTGATAACAAAGAGAAGACACGTTCACAGAGTGAAACTCTTCAATTTCTGCGGTTTAGATCAAATCACGATCAAAGGAATTATTGGTCTATTGTTGACATAATTAACTTTTAGGGAATTAAGTAAATTAGTCAGTTAATTGAATTAAATAGATAAATAGCAACAGTGCAACAGGTATAATACTAGGCATCTGGAAAATGTTAATGAATGCCACAAATATTTAAATGGCTTTCTGTATTTAATGCCAAGGAATTGTCTAATTGTGTTCTCTCTCATTGCCACAAGGATTAATTCACACTGTTGCATACATAGGCAGTAACCTGTCTCAGGAGGTCTGCATGTGCATCTCCAGCATCATCAACTCTTCTCTCTGTGTTGGTTCACTTATTTCCACATGCTGTGTGTGGGGAGGTGTGGTTGCTTCAGATTTTTGTGTCTCTATGCAATCTACTTGTCCATTCACTAGTGGAAAAAACCTCTCTCCCAGTTCACATATATGTGAATATATGTGTGTGTATGGCTACTTTCTGCACCCTTTATTGTTCCTATACTACCTGGAGTAAAACCAGTAGAAAGCTCACAATGTCTCATAGGAATCATGGCTGCTCTGCCTAACCTAGGCAGAGATCATAGCTCTGTTAGGGCAACATCTGACCACGTCAGACTACGTTGTGGCTGCTGTTTCATCTGTTGCCCTCTCCATTGCCCCTACTGCTGCAAATTTTTGTGCTTCTCAAATATTAACAGCTTCCTAAACTGACTCTTATTCTAACAGACTCTTGTTGGTAATGCCTGGCTTACAGTATTGGCAGCTTACACCTCAGCTTTTCTTGTATAGAAGGTTTATGTGCTATGGTGTGGTCTTAGTGTGAATTACTGATTATCTTTCTCCCTTTCTGAGGAGAAAAAGACGAGAAAGAGTGTAGCAATAAAAGCATCGCTTTGTCTTTATTGGTTTATTAGTTTTATCCATTTGTGGTCAAGTGATGCCACCTGCTGACAAAGAGGTGAAAACACAGCACAAGACCAGGATGAATCTGTATTACTAAAGGGATCTGAGGGTATTTAAACTGTATTTACGCTATTATATATGAATCATCATTTTGTTGTATGCACCTTCTGGGCACATATGCGCATGAAACCAGTTATGTAAATAAATTTATTTAAAGGTGACCATTAAGGCAATTACTAATAACTTTAGGTAATATATATAAGTAATTTAAAATTAAAACTCAAAGAGAAAATATAGTAGAAGAAAATACGATGAAAACTTCAAAATTTTTTAGTAATTACATTTTTCATGAAATGATACAGGCACTCTTAAGAACCTATCACTTGGTTTTGCTACTTTTGATGTATACTTATACTTTTAAAAAAAATTATTGTAGGGAAAACCTTCTGCAGTACTGTGGGGAGAAATATCCTGCCATTTCATTGGAATATAGTATTATTATACAGTTGAACTATGTATGTTTTCCCTTGAGAGATGGAGAAGAAAGAGATTCCTCAAATTATGTAGCCACCGGTTTCCATAACTCAGCGTGTCTGGTTAGGGCACTAAATGTTTTCTGTAGTTGAAACTTTGTAGAAGCAGTAGGTGAAGTACAACAAACTGGGCCCAGGCATGGGAGAGGTATCTCAGACTGGAAACTGAAAATTCCTCAGTACTAATTCTAGGTATTTGAGTTCTACTGCACCTCCTTAGCAATGTTAAAATATTGACAGAAAATTAATTGCAATATCCACTCTAAAGACATTCTGCTGCTCTCTCTTATTTACTGCTGCCTGAATTTATGTGTGTGGTTTTCTCTGTGTCAGAATAATGGAAGAAAACTTCTTGCATTCAAATTTTCATGAGACAGGTGAATGGATAAGGATATGCATTTCATTCATCCTGCTGCTTGTGAGGGACTTCGTGACACCATGGAAGATTTCACTAAGATTGTTTCTTACTTTTAGGAGAAAAAAAAAAACAACCTAAAGAGTCAGTTCTGTAATTCACAGAATCACAGAATTGAAAAGGACATTGGAAAGGGACCTAGATGTATCATCAAGTCCAACTCCTCCAAAGTGAATTGCCAATGTGGGGGTCAAAATCAACACCTTGGGGTTATTAGCATCATGTTCTGGCCAACTGAGCTAACCTCAGAGTCAGGTTGCACTTGTGTAAGGAGCTCCTTTCTGAAATACAAAATTAATTCAGTGTTTGTGGTCCAAAATACATAGTAGACAATAAATTGTAAAGTCATTGCAGCAAAAAATACTGATTTCAGAAAAGTAGAAACTGAGAATTTAAATTTTTTTCCTCAGGCCTTGTAGTTTGACTTTACCAGGTCTATGTTTTGTTTTGTTTTAAAGACAGCTCAGAAAAGTGAACAAAGCAATTGCTAACTTGCAATGGAAAATATATAACAATATAATAAAAATAGTATATATTTTCATTTTAAAATTTTTCATGTTGTAGTGTTTACTAACTAGATTCTTTATCAGAGATATTGTAGCATTACTGCAGCATCAAGGCAGTACAGCACATGGGACCAACACCTTTGGTCCTTTGCAACCTGATCTATAAAGCTTGTTTATGAGAAATAGCTTCACTTCAGAGTAGGTACCTCATTTCCAAGTAGAACACCAATGCTGCTATCTTTATCTCTTTTTAATCTCATAAGTAAAGTAAAATCTTACTCTTCTGCTTACGAGAAATTCACTTCTCAAATTTTTTTTCCCTGCAGTGTCTCTAAAAAAAATGTGCTGTGAGTCAAAAAGGTTTTTGCTCCTCTATGCAACACAAAAGGGGCAGGCAAAAGCCATAGCTGAGGAAATACACCAGCAAGCAGGTGCCCATGGACTTGAAGCTGATATGCACTGTATAAGTGAAATGGAAAAGGTGAGATACTCCATGTTATTTTGAAAAATATGTATGGGGGAACTGAATTCTTCTTCACATGCTAGAGTGGTGGCTCTTAGTAATCATGACAGCTAGCAAATGCACCCACCTAAAAAACACCATTTACTGTCAAATTTTTGTTCTTTGTGAATCAGTAATTTCAACCAATATTCACAGTTGCTTAATAGCCTTCTGCCAAAGATACATCTTGTGATTTTTCTTATTAGAACTGTAAATTAATATGTCTTTATCTCTCATCTAGCAATGATTTGGTGACTTCTTGAAAATTTTTTATGTATGTAGTAGTGAATGAATTCTGTATTTACAGGTCAGGTCTGCTTTTACTAGAAATTATGCTCTTTTTTCTTGGTTAGTTGATTGGTTTTTGTTTGGTTTTTTCTGGTTTCTTTTGTTTGATTTTTTGGTGTTTTTTTGTTTGTTGGGGTTTTTTGGTTTTTATTGTTGTTGTTGGTTGGTTGGTTTGGTTTGTTTTTTTCTATTTCTTTTGTTGCATTGATGTCCTGTGTTCTGTTAACTGTGGGCTCCAGCATGGCCTAGAGTTTTTGCAGGTCTTCTTGTGTTGCTTAGCATATACTCTCATTTCAATTCCCACAGGACTTATTTCAATTTAAGTTCTAGAACAAAATAAAAATCTTGGCTGAAACAAGGAAGTGGCTTTTTATTAGTTGCTGCTATCCAAGAGTAAGAATGTGAAAACTTAGTTCTTTAACTAAATCATTATGGACTGTAATTTCCTTCACAAAGTACTCTCAACTGTATGCCCTCAAATGAAAACATTAAAAACAAACAATCAAAACTTGATAGCCTGGTAATTCATATGAGATGATGAGAAAATAGCATCTGAAAGAGTTTTTTTCATGCATTGAAAGTGTGAGACATTTTGAATGAATGTGCAGTAAGTATATAGCTGACTGTTAGAAAGAGACCTTTATGTCTCTTTCATAAGTCAGCAGGGAATATGAAAATTCTCCTAATATTGTTAATTTCTTCTGCATTTGACAGGTTTGTAGATGAGTTTCAGGAAGGTGACTGTCAGAACATTCCTAGCTCTGTGATTGGCCTGCCACTTCAGTAAATGTATTTTGCCAAATTTGGCAAGAAAATTCATAGTTGCAAATTAATTATGGGCATTGAGGAAAATGTAATTTCTGCAGCTTTGTAAATTTTTTCACATATAAGCTTCTGTCAGTTATAAGCATATAAGCTTGTCACGTGTAAGCTACTTGTCAGTTACAAAGTCTGTCTTCATGGAGCTTCTGGGTATTTTCAGACCTTGTGGAGGTCTGTGGATGGTGGTTACAGAGGCAGTAATAGTAATGTGATTTTTTTGTCACATTACTGAATGGTCAAATACTGCTCAGATCTCAGGAATACTGGCTGTTTTCAAGTAGTGTCTCTCACCTACAATCCCAGGAGTGAGATAAGGTCATAAATCTTTACC